CTTTTTTGATTTATGACCGTATAAAACTGTCCAGTGGGAAAAAAACCTATGTGTGTGTACTGACACAAAAAATAAAAACATTATTGTAAAATTAACATTGTCTCAGCTAAAACATTTACAGAGCCGAATGTGTTAAATCCATTAGTGGCCTGTGAATTCAATTGGAAATTAGGCGGTTAATAATAGCTTTTTAGTTGCATAACAAAACGTTCAACAGACTATTTCCACTATTTATCATGTTGCATGCGTTGAGGATTAAAAACGATTATACTTAATTAGCAAATATTTGCTATTCAGAAAAAAAAAATGAATAATGGTTTTCATATTAGGATGATTTATCATCGGTAAACCTAACTTAACCTAACCTAACCGATTCGGTTTCAATATCAGTGAGGGCATGACATTTTTTTTCTTCTACAAAATATACAAAGACTGTGGACAATGTGGACCGCTTTCTCGGCGGTGGTCTGTTAGGAAAATATTATATTATGGTTGTTATTACACGATTATTATTATTGTCGTTTAGTGTTTCAATATTGGAAGTGCAGAGACTGGATATTCAATTTACCAGCACCGGCTGTGTGTGTGTATTTTAGTCACCAAAAAGGGCGTGGTATTTGACATCTTGCCCAGATAACGTGGTGACCATTCGGTTAAAACGTGTAAAACTAATTTCTAATTTTACACGTCTTATATAGCTGTTCTCGACGCAAACACCAGCAAGTTTACATTACAATATTGTTTGCAGACACTCATACTAGTAGAGTTCAGCGAGCACGTTTTAAAAATATTGTTTCATCACTATAGGCACTGTTCGAGCACTGTTTCAATATTGTACAGGGGTTTTTTTTTTGTTTCAGGACTAATAGTGTGTAATTTTAAACAAATTCAGTAATTTGGTTCAGTTTAAACACGTGTCGACTAGATGTACAGATAGGTACATATTTTGCCGGTAAATCAAATTATAAGATAGTATTGCATTTCATACAAAAACCGTGGCTATTGTCTACACAGTTTGTCGCAAAATATCATAATCGATTTCAGAAATCAACAAGATATACTGCGTTTTATATATTATATATTATGGAGTACCATTAGCCTATACTAAAGCCACAGAAATCGACCGTGGTGAGGTATCGTTGGATTACTATTTTGAAGTTCTTGAAGTTCCAAGGTTGTTGTTATGCCTGAAGATATTCACAAACTTTCAAAACAGTTTTCAGCCCCCTCTTGGAGCCATATTTTAGGAATGATAAGGGTTTTTGTGAAATTATTGACTCTGGTCAAAAATTTCAATCCGTTTTGGCAATTTATTTCACAATTGTTTACAAATAATCTAGATAACAATGTTCCTGATAAAATTATCTTGTGTTTTAAACAGGTCCCGGCAGTCTAAGGGCCCTAGCTTAGAATTTAGGTACTTTGTTGTGTCTTAAGATAAAAGGGATACAAATGTGGTGGTAAATGTCATATTTCTGTAACACGCTGAGCACGTTAAAGTTCTGTATTCCGTCGGTAGAACTGTGACTATAACCGATATAACCTTCTAGAGCGCTGTATTTTTTGTTGTATATAATATTTTGATTTAAAATATAACCCCATTTTGTATGATATACAAAACGACAAAACTTGCACTTGTTTCAAAATTGTTTTATATGTTCTAATGTTGTTTTAACAATATATTATTATTATGCTATTTGCTAACACGCGTGCAATTTACTTTTACACGTGGCGTCAATAAAATTGGCCGGGGACGGTTATTGTTGTTGGCAAAACTGAAATACCTGTGTGACCAACGCAGTGTTGATAATAATTGTAAAACCGCCGAAAAGCTCTAAAAGAGTAGGTACATGATAATGTTTCCTAATTAGCTGAAATTCGTACTTAAAAAGAATTCGACGGGGCTAAAAATTTGAAAAAACTCACCTCTTCCTCTTCAAGATCTATCTATTTACGTTGACGAGCCAAGCAAATATCCTAGACCCATTTCCAGGGGATGAGAATGAGAAATGTTAATTTGGTAATACAATTAATTTATAGTAGGTAGGTATACCTATACCTTAAATCTTACAAAGTGAGGCCAAACAACTTTGGAGGAAAAGAGCCCTGCATATAACGTGGTATAGATTGTGAAAATTGAATAAGAAAAATGTATTCCTTATATTGTGTACATAAACGTCATCGCTGTGAAACGCTTTAAAATCGCCAATTTGTTAATTAATTTAATCAGGATTTCAATTGTGTTTAAATTTATTATATAATAAATTACAACGATTTGTACCTACCTAACTTTACCCTTACCTAGTTAGATTTTTAATCCGTCCAGTCTGGTCCTGCGGCATACAACTATGGGGCACAGCCAAACCTTCAAACACCAAAACTATCCAGGCGTTCCAGTCGATCTGCTTGCGCCTAATAACCTCTGCCCCTTGGTATGTCACAAATAAAAACTTACATAAAGACTTAAACGTACCAACATACTCGACCAACTAGCAAATTCGGTTTACTCAAATTTCCATTCAAATCTAATTACTCATTCTGACCCCCTAATAAAACAACTATCGTCGGCCTCCCTTCCCGATAATGCTCCCAGAAGATTAAAGAGAAGATGGCCTAGGGATCTACTACAATAACTACAATAAATAATAATATAATGAAAAATAATAATTTTTTTTCTACTTCCTAGCCGGGTGACGCTGCCGAGTGTCTTCCCATAACTGTCAAATTTTTCATTGTCATGTATATAATATCTTTCATCAAATTTGCTTAATGTACTCAATGTATAGATTGTAAATATATTTTCAGATAATAAAAAATAAAAAAGTTACATTTTTTAAACCGATTACAATGCTGTTATGTGTCACGCATAAAACGGCTAACGCTATTAGCAACTCGATAACGACACTCGCTTTGCCCATTGCTAATACCAATACCACCTATGTTTTTTTTTTATAACCTTTATTATAAATTTAACAGCTAAACAAATAACAACAAATAATGATGGATATATATATATATATATATGTACACACAGGGTGTCACGGAAAGTTCTACCGAGCTTCAAATGAGACATTTAGCATGCTCTATGGGTACAGTAAATGGTATTCATTTCAAATAGAACTCGTATCTCATTGAAAAATGGTCTTACAAAAAAAATAATTTCAGATTTGAAATCGGGAGAAAAAATATTGTTGAATTGATATGTAACATGATTTTTTGGTATCTGGCCACACATTCGTCCACCTAGTGGCCACTAAGTGGCCGGCATATGACCAAAACCAACTTATGGAATGTGACACATCATTTTGGGTTAGAATTGTATTCTCAATTCAGTGGTGTTCTTAGTATTATTTCATATTAAATTATGTGTCGCGTGCCATATGTTGGTTTTAGTCGCACTCCGGCCACTCGGTGGACGTATGTGTGGCCAGATATCAAAAAATCATGTTACATATCAATTCAACAAGATTTTTTCTGCTGATTTCAAATCTGAAATTATTTTTTTCGTAAGACCATTTTTTGTACCCATAGAGCATCCTAAATGTCTCATTTGAAGCTCGGTAGAACTTTCCGTGACACCCTGTATATACAAACTAAAATAAGAATGGAAAAAACAAAATAAATACACAATATACAAAAATTACACGTTGTTAAAATAACTTTACTTACAATTCGATATGAAACCCAGCAAGAAAGATGAATTTGAGAATGGACTGTATGATAGGAACTGAACGGGAGTTGAGAAAAATTACAAATGGCTGGCAGATCATGCAAGGTGCAATGTGAAGAGGAGTTTGATCCCCAGAGTGAGTGCTCTGGGAACAGTTTTGCTAGAGGATGAGATACAAAACCGAAGAGATCTGATATTAAGAATAAGGGTAGACAATGTAGAGTTGAGTGGACTCAGTGGTAAAATAAGAAGACAGAGGGTGGTTTAATAACTTTAAAAGTTACTATCCAAAATTGGTTATCGACGAGTCAACGTTTTCAGTAAATTATATTCTACTTTCAAGAAGTTAATTAAACACATAGTTAATAAACACATATAATTCCCATTTAAGTAGCCCAGTTCATAGTCCTCTGGAAAATACTAAAAATGGTAAATAATAAATGAAATAACAAAAACGTTTTCAAGAGTAAAACCGTGTTAAAATGAGTGTTTTGATTTTTACAAAATGATAGAAATATGAAAAAAATATCCTCATTAATCGTGATTGTCTTAAAAATTAAATATACCTTCTAAATTCAAAAATAATAACTTTAAAAAAAAAATGTACCCTTAACCTGCAAAACGCTCACCTTTATTAGTGACTTAACTCAAAAAATTAATTGACTTATATTTTCAACTGAGAATTTCAGACTTAATTGATTTCTTAATCTTTGGTGAGTTCATTATAATATACATATTTTATTATTATAAGCAGTTAATTAAAAAAATTGTATAATAATTTAATTGGGAAAAATGTCTTTTTATGTTAATATACAAATTTGAAGCTCTGTAGTGAATGAACTATTTGAGATAAAGGTCTGAAACTGTTCACTGCACTCCTACACACCGAGGCGATTCAAATAAGACCATAATTAACAAAATCCGTTCATCGGTCTCAGAGATGACAATTTTTTTTAATTGTACAAAGCTTTAAAAATCACATTACAAGTGGCCAAATTATTATTTTTTTATCATATCTTATGTAAAACGATTAACAAGTATGATAGTTGAACATTAAACTTTTCTCCTCTCCTATTAAATTTGTTTTTTTTTTTTTTAATGTTAAACTGCTCTCAGTACTGTTTTTGCAATAATTTCTGAACTATCTATGTATAAGTACTAATATAATTACTTTAAATTATAAAAATGATTATAGTGGTCCAAGAGTCAAGACCACACATTGATTTGTTTTCACTGTGCTAGTAAATTTTCAATTAGCTATTTAACAATACAGCATACAGTATGGTTGTAATTAAGGGTGTTTTTCTAATGAAAAAATTAACTCCATCCCTTGTGCGAAAAAGTAAAAATTTTAATAGACATTTTATTTTTATTTTATAACTACAAAATGGCAGTAAAAGCGATGAAGTTTACTACAACGCTTTAACAATTAGTTTTTGCTTGATGCTTATTGTAATAAGCACGTCGACTATAGGATTTTTTACATTTATCACATTTGTATTTCTTGTCGGTGTGTACAATATCCTGATGCCTCTTGAGATAATGCTTCCGGTTAAAAGATTTTTTACATTTGTCACACTTGTATTTCTTATCAGTGTGTACATTCTTGTGATGTCTGTTGAGGTTTTGCCGCTGGTTAAAAGATTTTTCGCAGAGGTAACATCCATATGGTTTCTCGCCGGTGTGCAGGAAATTATGCGTCTTGAGGTTTGTGTAGTTACGGAAAGATTTTGGGCAAACCTTACATTTGTATGGTCTCGCATCGGTATGCAGGCGATTATGTATCTTGAGGTTATCGTGTGTGCTAAAGGCTTTTTCACACACAGAGCATTTGTAGGGCTTTTCGCCGGTGTGCACACGCTCGTGTAACTTGAGGCAATGTCTATAGGCGAATAATCTTGTACAGACATCACATTTGAATTGTTTCTCACCGGTGTGCACCAGCTCGTGTCTCTTGAGATTGTCGTGCCGGGAAAATTCTCTTTCGCAAACGCTACATCTGAACGGTTTTTCGCCTGGGTGCACGCGCTCGTGTCTCCTGAGAACTATTTTGCTGGCAAAAGAGCTACTGCAAATTCTACATTTGTACGGTTTTTCTCCAGTGTGCACGCGCTCGTGAATTATCAGTTGCGATTTGAACAAAAACGTTCTCACACAGACATCGCAATCGAAGCGGCCGTCTTTATTTCTAGCGTACGCTTTTCCACTGCTGTACTCGTTTTCGTCTCCAGTCGTTCTAAGACAGGGTTTTGGCTTTACGTTACAAGATGTATGCGATTTCACAAAATGACGGACGATATGCTTTTTGGTAGCAAACCTATGCTGGCACGTGTTGCAGTCGAACGATCGTGTTGGATTTACATGCTTCGTTAGTCCGGAATCCACCTGTTTATTGTCTACGGTTTCTATTTCCGTTTTGAGCACACGGCCAGTGGATTTGTATCTTTCAGTTTTAGTCTTCGATTTGTCGATACGTCTGTCGTGTCTAAAATTCAAATATATCATACTAAAATTACAAATACCTATATAATATTTTTAAGAACATTAAATCATGAAGAAATACCCAGAATTGCTTTCAATACTGTTGACAATTTGTTTACTGCTGTCCAGACTTTTGTCTATTGTTTTTCTAAGCCAGGGCTTTGGCTTTGTAATACAAGACGTGTGTGTTTTCGCAAAATGACTCATGATTTTACTTTTGGTAATAAACATCTTTGGACACGCGTTACATTTGAACAAACTTTTTAGATTTACAACGTCCTCCGTTATTCTAGAACCGACCTGTTCATCATGTATGATTTTCATTTTCAGTTCGAAAACGTGTTCATTTAATTTGTCTATAGTAGTTTTGATATTTGATTTGTCAATATGTCCAACACCTCTAAAACACAACAATACGATACTAATTAAAGTTTTTGCAATAAAATTACAATACATAAACAGTTTTTAATAACATTAAATCATGAAGAAATACCCAGAATTGCTTTCAATACTGTTGACAATTTGTTTACTGCTGTCCGGACTCTTGTCTATTGTTTTTCTAAGCCAGGGCTTTGGCTTTGTATTACAAGACATGTGTTTTTTTGCAAAATGACTCATGATTTTACTTTTGGTAATAAACATCTTGTGACACGCGTTACACTCGAACAAACGTCTTAGATTTTCAACGTCATTCGTTAGTCCACATTCAAACTGTTCATGATTAACGGTTTCTGTGTTCCTTTTGAAGACATCCCCAATTAATTTGTCTCTTTCAGTTTGAATATTTGATTTGTCTTTATGTGTGTCGCCTCTAAAAAAAAAAAAAAACATAAGATAGCTATAACACTACTACAGCAATGTGGATGTCAGTCCATTTTCTCTGTTATAGACAAGAGGTAAAAATTGTACACATTGATTGGTAATACAATTTAATACAAATGTATAGGTTGCTTAACTTGTTTTTAATTAGGAAAAAATTATTAAACAGCGGTAAACGTTATTGAATAACAATTATAAGTTTTAACGGTGAAATTATACTTATTTTAATATTATTCTTACGTCATATATTAAATATGTCGCATATTAAAAAATATAATGCAAATTCTGTGCATTGCAAACGAAGAACAAGACTAAGAAGAGCAAATTAAAAAACAGCGCAGACAAATACTAGCACAGTAAAAAAAATTATCCGTTAAATCAATTATTATCAATACTATTGATAGCTAGGTATCGTTACAATTGGTATCGGTTTTATAAGCAAGATTTTTTTCCTAAGCACAAACACAAGGACACATTCTCTATCAAAAAAAATAATTAGGTACTATTTAGTTTGTACTAAATTCCTCGCAGTTAAAAAACAGAATTAAAAGATCAAACATAAAAATATAATATTATGTTGTAAAAAGAGATTGTCCTGCGATTATTGGTCTTGATTTTATACCAAGTTAAAAATAGTTTAACAATAAGCTAAACAATATTAAAGTATCAAATTATATTAGTCTAAGTTATATTGATTTGATCAAGTCCTATTTAATGAGGTTTAATGAAGATTTATTGATGAAATGTCAAACAATATAAATATTTAACTACAGCAACACAACTTCATTTTATGTACACGAAATGCGAATTCTTCAGTTATTGTAAGTTATTAAAAATTTCCTTACTTGAGTTTGTTTCTAAACCATTCTTTTTGAGGATTTTTCCGGGTTATTGCGCAATTTAGATTGTATGATTCAAGTACATGATCAGCAATTTTCCAGCCAACAAATGGCTCTATAGTGTCAATTTCCAATAGGTTAAATTTTCTGTTAGCCATTTCCAATACATCCACTTCGTAGTTAGCCATATTCAGTATGTCTTTTTCGATTCCTGTCGATAATATGTCTTTGAGATTGTTGTTGCACGTTTCGTTCATTCACACTGCAAACAATGCAAAACACTACAACAAAAACTAAAACAAATAAAATATTATACTATCTTATATTTAAATTTAGTGGCAATTTTTCAATTAGTACATACATAGAATGTGAGATAATCTTGAGTAATTTAAGAAAGCTAAAAAATCACTTTTTGTTAAAATTATTATTCTAAAACCAATTCCAAATTTATTATTTAACATTAATATTAGTTGTAATAAATTATATTATCAAAATGAACTAAGAAAGATAGCGTTGCCACAGAACACAGTATTATTATTCTTTTAATTTTTGATGTTGTTTGATGCTTAATATTATTGTTTTGGGTTAATTGATAACACGGGCCACGCTATCACAGAACAATGTGGTTACTCTGGTTAACCCGTGGTACCACCGTGGACCTTTGGTCATAGATAATAAAGAAGTGTCTTGTTTACCAATAATTTATCGACCAAATATCATTTAAAAATGAATATTTACATACATGATAAAGAAATTGTTATTACTTATTACACAATGAATTAAATTATTAGAATAAAAAACTTGTGTCATATTGTATTTGTTTTGGGGATTAAAGCGGGCCGTTTTTAAGGGGTATTGTATAGACACTATTTTAAAGAAGCCGTTTTAATTAATTTCAACCGTGTCAATTTATTTTCATGTTAATTTGTACAAGGTTCAATTAGGTATAATTTTTAACTTGAATAAGTTTTTCTACAAGTAATTGTCAGTTTGTTTCTACAAAAAAACAATTTAGATCTAAAAGCCTGACAAAATTAAGCCTACTTAGTAATGATCAGATTTTTATTCTGAAAAAAAATTAATAGAGTTGATCGTCATTTTTGCAGGGTTATTGTGGAAGTCGATTTTTGAATAACTGCTTCATTTACTTAAAAATGCCAATGATGTGAATATTAAAAAATTCAAAAATGATTTAAACACAATTTTAATTGAAATATGAAAATATCGATTTCAAAATAACCCAGAAATGAGGTCCAAAAACTCAAATAGTTACTTTTACAAAAATTCAATTGGACCATCTTGTCAGGAATTTTGTCGGGCTTTTTAGGTTTCAATCGTCAAAAAAATCGACCGATTTCAATCATCTTATTGAGGTATAGTATAACTGTTTCCTAATAGTGTGATAAATTTTAAACAATTAATGTTATTACAACTTATAAAAAAACAGTACAGTGGGGTCGGGGCAAAGAGGGGACGGGGAGGTCACAAGTTTACAGGAATTTTTAAATCTGAAAGTGATAAAATCACTTTCGAATAAACGCTTCGATGCAAGTAAGTAGTTAGTATTTTCAAACCAATACAGTCCAAACCAAGCACAGTGTAAACCAGCAAATTGAGAAAGTATTAAATTGAGGTGCTGTATTTACAAATATGCATCAAAGCGTTTATTTTAAAGTGATTTTATTCAATTTCATCACTTTTATCTAAATATAACAAATGAACAAATAAATGAAAATTCAAACGCTGAAATGTTTTTTTTATTTTTTGTCTACAAATGTAGGTAATTAAAAACATAATATGTTGCCATTAAAAAAAAACTAAAATACCCCTTATTGGCCTTTAAGGATTGGTGATAAAAATTTTCAATATATTGAAAAATATAGTACAATGTGTACCAAAAAATCTTGGAAAAAAATATTGTCTAAAATATTAATATATTGCGAGAAAATTAGTGTTTTATCCTTACGAGACAATACGGTAAAAAGTACTTAAGTAAATGTACCTACTGAAATATTTTTTAAAGTTTTTTTTTTTAAGTTATGATATTTCTATCCGTGTGGTTGATCCACACAGCAAAATAAATTAAATATTGAAACTATATGTATTTTACAATACCTATTTTTTTTTACGGGACCATTTTATTTTTTACCTTTTTTTAATGGTTAAAATTGAATAAGGACCTAAAGCAACAACCAGTTCAATCCAATAAAAAAATTAAAAAATGATTATGGAAAAATAATTTTTATTCGTTCGTCCCGAACAAAGTGGATTTATCTGAAAGTTACTTGTTTTCTTTCAAGCAATTATTTTAACTATTTTTAATTAAAAAAAAATAATGTATTTATTGGTAAATATTAAATAATAATAAAATCAACTAATTTTAAACAAAAATGCACATCAAAACATTTAAATTTTTTTTCAGTACGATTTACATAGGTACCTACACACTAATTAATTTTATAATTTAAAAATAATATTAGGATTAAGACACATTAGATAGTACTGCCCTTTAACTTAATTTTGACTTCCTTTGCTTCATTAACCTTTTTAAAAACTCTGCGAAACTAAAAAGTTTATCCTAGCGGATAAGATGTATAAAAGGCCATTGAGATTTTAATCATAAATAATTAACGCTTAAATTTTTAAATTAGTCTTATCCACACATTTTTTCAACTTTAAATTACGGCTCTCCGTATATTTTTTCAAAATAGTCAAAATAGTTCCAAATTTGAATAGAATATTCTTAAGACATAGTACTACCGACAAACGTGGACAACCTATAAACAATTATCGTACACCCTTTCTCCTAGAAGGGGTAGATTTTTTTTCTTTCGCTTGCAAAGTTTTAGAGGTTTGTGTATGAAAATTAGACCAAAGGTAGATCTAGAATGGGACTATAACATAACATACAATTTCCTCGAAAATCTGTAGCCAAACATTTTTTTTTATTAAGAAAAAACCAAAAAACATGGAAAAATTACACTTTTGCCCGTATGCACAGACCACAGTCCTAACTCTATGTGTTACATATCATTGCTTGATGTGTAATCTATATGTTTACTTAATTATGTAGCCCATAACCAATTATTTGGCAGCACATAAAGTACGTTTTGCACAGACAATAACTATGTATTTCATAGCTACATGTGTAATAGTTAATGGGATTCTTACCGTTTTTATCAATGTTGCTATGTTCATATCAGTCGAAAATGTTGAGATAACAAGTGATAGTAATTTTTTGATTGAACTTAAATTTATAATATTATATTTAAAGTATTATAACTTTATTATTACTTTCCTTTTTATATTTACATTTGTAATTATTTTTATTTATTTAAAATAACGATGAGTAGTGAGAAAAAGTAAAACGAGCCCGTGTTTCTAATATTTCCGAAGAGGAAAAAGCAATAATATTGCACTGCATATCAAAAGAAAAGCATTTAATGAGTGTAAAAAACAGATAAATATCTAATAATATCTAGCAATATATAGCAATAAAGAAAAACATTTCTCTTGGGAAAGGATTACAGCGAGTTTTACACACACCTTGGCGTTAACAAAGTAAGTGCAATAAAAATAAATAAATTCTAGGTACAGTGCTTGATAAAATTATGTCGGAAGAAATAAATTCAGATGAAAAAAATGATCTATAACTGAGTACATTGGCTAATTGAATATTTTTTATTAAGATAGGTAAAAGAAAGTTGGTTAAAATTATTTATTTATTATTAAAAGTACGGGCAGATAGGTGATAGCCCGTTGGTAAACGATTACAATTTTATTCACAAATTACATAGTAGAGTATGTAGTTATGATAACTAAGTAGCCAAATATTACAAATTTCAGCTTTGGTTTCATAACAATAGGATTGAACTTTTTTCAAACTTTGTGCTGTTAAATTTATTGTTTGTTTTAACTTAAGATATGCATCATCCTTACGAATACCACAATTTTTAACAGTTTAAATGTGGAAAACATGTTTAATCAAACAAATATTTTATTTAACTACCCATACCATGAACTTTTTAAATAATTGTTTTACTTTTAACACTGTCACTCAATGTGATTAAAATATCTATCAATTTTTAGTATGAATGAAACAATGATAAAGCTCTCTTAGATAAGAAAATTTCCACAAGCCGTTAACGATAGGTATTCAGTTTAAAGAAGAAACACTTGATTGTGGTAAATAATTAAAATTGATTGTATTATTAGTTGTTAATTTATGTTATTTATAAACATCATTAGCTGAAACTAGTTATTAGGCCTTAAAGACCCAACACTGACATTATGAAATGGTTTCATTACATATTCGCTTTTAGATACTAGTTTTACAAAAATAAAAGATAAATAGCTGCTGTCAATTTATTGATTTCTTTAGTCATCATCATCACATCATCACCACGACTACTATAATGTTTTAAATAATTTATAATTTAAACTAGACTAGGTATACACTTCTTAAATACTTTTTTCCACTTTCACTTTATGCGATTATAGTATGTATTGATTTTTAGTATGAATGAAATGTGGAATGAGCTGGAAATTAAAATTGAAATTAAAAACTCAGAAAGATTGTTACTACAAGAATCACATAGAAGTTGATCCCCAAAATAGAACTGTGGGAAATACAAACAGGTAATATGATTTTTTTTGTAAGATATTTAGAAGCATTTTGTTATTTAAGTACTAAATTTAAAAATATTGATTGAGTTAATGGACTCCACATAGAAAAACTCTTGTCATTAATTACTTACGTACGCTACATTTATTTACCTAAATTCAAATTTAGTTTGTTTGAAATTTATTTTGTACTGATTGATAAAAAAAAAAACAACAGACGTGCTAAACTGAAAAAAAAAAAGATTTAATTTATGTGCAGTATACACGTATCGACGCTTTTAAGGCAGAAGGTCGTAAACAACATTTATTTTTATTTTTAAGAAGTTGGCTAAATGGATAAAGAGTCGTGGTATTTATGCCAATATATTAAAAACTCATTTTCGACAAAAATGTCGTTTACGACACTACCTTTTAAGCGTCGATGTCTTTTGTTTATAAGTGCTTCATATTTTACTATCAGTTTAAATGATTAATGCATTCTATGATTTTTAGGAATAATGAAACGTCAAAGGAGCTGAAAATTAAAATCGAAAAAAAAAATGAAACTGATGATTACGATGAGCTCACTATAAAACTTAAAGAAGAGAACCAGTTTAAATTATTTCAGAACTAGGTAATTATGTATATTTGGTTACCGAACTGTATTTGAGTTATATGTTAAGAAAACCAAAACAAATATTGCCAATGATGACCATCTTTCCTATGTCAAGTAGTCTTTAGTTTTATTTTATAAGCATTTATTATTGTTTTTAGCACTTGTGGCGATGCTGTAAATAAATAAAATTAGACTGAAGGTCTACAGTCTAGAGGATGGGGGGGGGGGTGGCTATAACATATATACAATTTTCTTAAAAATCTGAAGCCATACATTTTTTTTATCAACGAAAAAAAAAGGAAAAATTTACTTAGGCCGTAGTAAATATCTATATTGATATGTGTGTACGAATCGACAGTCAACAAGTATCTAAAAATTGTTTTCATTATAAATCTCAAGAAATGGAACATTGAAACTGAACGATTCAAATTGAGTGGGTATGTTATCAATACGGAAATGGAAATCGTAGATCATGAACAGGTTGATTCTATACTAATGAATGACATAGATCCATCTAGCTTGTCCGACTGCAACATATGCCAAAAGAAGTTCGCTACCAAAAGTAACATCATCCGTTAGTTTGCCAAATCCCATAAGTCTTGTTCAAAGCAAAAACAACCGCCTCAAAAAACAACAGTCAAACATCGGGACATCAGTAAAAAAGTTTATACAAAAAACAACGACAACCACTTTGAGAGTGATTTCTGGAAGAAAATGTTTTCATTTAAATCCCAGCTGAAAAGACATGAGAGTATACATACTAGTGAGAAACCATTCAAATGCAATGTCTGCGAAAAATCTTTTTCACAAATCCAAAACCACTAGAGACATGAGCTCGTTCATACCGATGAGAAGCTATTCAAATGTAATGAATGCGATAAACGTTTCACTCAGAGAGATAACTTGAAGGTACACCAATGCGTTCATACCGGGGAAAGACCATTCAAATGTGATGTCTGCCTGTAAACTAAAACTCAAGAGACCAGTGCGTTTTTTTTTTTGGTAAAAAATCCATACAAATGTAGCGCATGCAATATTTTGCTAGAAAGAAAATCGTATAGGGATTATGGCGGTTCTTTATAACATTTTTTTAAAATTTTATTTAAAGTAAATATATTTTCTTAATAATTAATAAATTGTAGTACAATGATTGGTTTTTTCTGATTTCAATAAAAAAAATGAAAATCACAACCCAATAAGTGATACAACTAACAATGTGTTTAAATAATATGTTTTTGTGTAAAAAAGTGCCCTGGGACAAATTTCATTAGCATCAGATCCTTATCAGAATACATATATTGCTCCTGAACATTTTACAATAGATTTGTTTTGCTTCATTAGTTTCTCGATAAACAACTGGATTAACGCTAACGTTAGTTGTGAAATTTTTTTGGGTTGTGACTTGTGATTCACAATTGTATAGAAATCAGAAAAAACTTTCTTTTTTTTATGTTTTGTTGTATACTTATTAGTTGTTTAAACAGTTATCTGTTTTTATACATCAATGCGCCCAATACAAAATATATTATCAAAAAACATAACAAACGTCAGCCATGTTGTATTATTTTATCTCTATAAAGTTAAAAAAAAAAAAATCAACAATATCGATTATTTGGGGGCCAATTATTTTTTAATTAAACTATTATAATTGTAGGCCTAATGTCAGTTTTTCCAAATTCAGTCTCGTAGTTGTATTTAAAATATACTATTATATTTTAAGATTCACAAAAACCTTGTTAATTAATAATAATGCTTCGATAAGACGGATCATAGATAGTGTGATTTACAAAAAAAAAAGGAAAAAAAAACATTACATTTTGTAGTTGTAAAAATATTTAAAAAATAATAAGGAATGAAAGCTTGTATTAAATGTTTAATTTAAGCACGAATAAACCAAGTCAAAAAACCAATATTCAGCGAAATGATTAACCATCATTACTAAATAAAATAAAATCTATTGGACGGAATTCAATTTTTATGTGAAGCTTACTATTTTCTCTATGAGGGCTAAAGGGCCGATTTTTGATTTAACTATCAGAAAATTAGACATTTTAATAGAAAATACCATAAAAATTTAAACGCTTATAGCAAAAAGGTTGAAAACAAATAAAAAATCGGTCTTTTAGTCCCCGTAGAGAAGATGTTATACTTAATAACAAAAAAACAACATTTGAAATCGGTTCGGTAGACACTTTAGAAAGTGAGCTCTCGTTTTGGTTTTTAATTACATGACGTTTGATAATAATTTAATAATGTTCTAATTAAAAAAAAAAACGCTCTACTTGTTTAAATACATATTTTAATTTATTATCTTAACCGCCAGATTAAAATTGATTATTCCATGTCTTTTAAATTTTTTATCCATGGGATTCTCAGCGTTTCTCTCTATCTTTTTCTATTAATCCCTGCGACAGTATAAGTAGGCCAGTATACTTCAAGGTTGTCACCTTGAATATACCTGTGGTATATGTACTAAGCAAGGAATGTGGTGACAGTGGAATGTGGTTGTGAGAGTCGCCGTCAATATGTCCCTTGTTATTGTCCCACCATGGCTTACATGTTTTTATAAAGAACATAAGGCTACCTGTGTCATTGTGATTTTCTACCTCTTGGCTGTTGCTTGGTGTCTAAATTCGTAAAATCAAATCCTTGTCGAGAAAGTGTACTCAAATAAGCATTCATTGTAAATTGTAATTGTGTAATATTTTTATGTAAGTATTTAATTATACTATCATTGGTTTTATAGTTTTATTTATTAAATTAATCAATGTATGATCTACAGTTTATGGTATACCATGTACTTTCTTAGCAAATATAATCTGTTTCCCTTATAATAAGAAGAATTTTAAATTTATTATTCAGAGCAAAAGGGAAACAAATTTGGTGGAGTTAATTCGTGATTAAGTTCTCATTTTTTCTTTGAGTTAGTAAGACTAGTATTTTATTTAAAAAGTATGGTGTATTTTATACTGGCCATAACTAATACAATTTTCTAATATTTTAATCATTGTCCCATTTTACATTGTTTTATTACTAAAACTACTGCCTTCACTCATGTTTCAATTCAATATGCTTAAACTCAGGCTAAAATCTTTTTTATGGATTAATTATAAGTTCTTAACCTTATTTTTGAAAATATTCTATGTGTTCTAGAATTAAAGAAGGGAGAAACTAGCTAAGAATTAAAATGGATGATTTTAACCGCGGTATCGTGATCAAAATAGAGAAAGAAGATGAGGATACGACAGAACCATTTACGGCAGAGAATATTGACGGAGATGAATATAGGTAATATATTTTATTACATAACATTCTAATGTTGTGCACCAATGCACCATACTAATGGAGTTAACACCAATAGTATGGCTTTTATTTTTTGAACTAAAAAGTCTGGTCCTAAGCAGACCCAGACCCAACTGAGAAAGCCTAGACCGTTACCAATTTTTATACTTAGTTCGGTTCAACATTTCAATGGTCAAATAAAATAATACTAATAAAAATGTTCAGTGTTAATAAAAATTAAAATACTTAGGCAGTAAAAAAATCACTTGTTAAAAAAGAAAATAATAATCATAAAAACATATTTTTATTAAACCATTTTGTTATGAATTATCATTATTTTATTCTAACCAAATTGGTATCAATTTTTTTTTATACATGTCTTAACGGTGCCAAATTTGGATTTAGATATATTTTATTATTTTTTTGAGTGGACAAAAAAAAAAAGTAAATATATTGGTTTGGTCTAATCCAGGGTTCTTAAAAAATTGTTTAATTAAGGCCGGGTTTTAATAATGTTATTCGGGTGGATTTAAGTTACAAAATACGAGTAATATTTTAAGGGTCTGACCAGTCTAAATAAATAGTATTATAATTCTATATGATCATTTTCATTTTTAGTACTGGAAAGACATCTCCGGTGTAAGGCTTAAACTTGAATTATATTATTTTTCGTAAAATGAACATTGTAAGTTGACAAACTAATTTTTTTTAATGTATCTTGTGTTTTAGACTTAATGAAATAGGAGACGAGACAAGAATTAAAAATAAAGAATGTGAGACTGATGATAATCACTACAAGTCCACTTTTGATGTAGTAGAAAATAGTGAACAACAAAAAACGAACGATGGGATTGCATACAAGTAATATATATTTTAAAATAAAATATTTATTATAGATGTTGTTAAAAAAAACAATATTTGGCTACCCCTAAACGTTCTATAATTTTCATTTACAAATCAAAAACAAAACACGATAACATCATTTTTATTTTTAATAATATTTCATGTGTACTTTTGTCTATGTACAATTTAATTACTGTGATTAATAAATCAGTAATTTAAAAAAAAATGTATTTGCTGACCCCGTGCACGTCGAATTTTCAAATATTGGTCTATCTAAAACTGTTATCCATATTGCTTATCGAATATAATATTCTGTGCGCCAACCATTCTGTGTTGAATACGGTCAATCCTTTTATATCGGCTTTGATTCATGTATCATAGAACTTAATTTTTAGATAAATAATATAATAGATAATAATACATTTTTACTTATTTTTTAATTTTTACAAATAAAAAAAGTTGGCATATTCTTAAATACTCTAAGCACTCCTAGATTAGGTTAGGTTATAATCAACAGGTTGATAATCAATATGAGATTTGTATCATTGTCACGCACAATTTTAATTCAAATAAAAATATTAAAAAATAAATCTGAAACATAAAAAAAAAAAAAATGTGCAAATTTAGATTGTGCCGACGAAATGTGAAAAATAAATTTTGTGTGCACAAAACTTGCTCAATTTTCAAGAAACGTGCGGAATAAGACGCCTTATAAACAAAAAAATATTTGTATTCTTGGAGTTGTTTTTCATACTAGTTATTTTATGAATATCAATTTTTCAAACTTTATATATCCACCGGTGATAGTTAATACATAAATCTATTTTTTTTTAATATTGATTGCTCGTAGGCAGCGTAGCAGATATTTTCGATTTCCTTTTTGAATTAAAAAATGTATATTTTTTATTCTTAGTGCCGGAGAAATGTGCAACGAAACAATGGTCAAAGTCGAAGTGGACTTAGTGAATGGACTTTATTTCGAGTCTGTGATTGAAGCTGAAAGAAATAGTCTCATGGATGAGATACAGTCATTTGTATGCGATGTATGCAAAAAGTTATTTTCTACAAAAAAGAAATTTGCCCGACACATTACACATTCACATAGTGCACAACTATTAACGCAAAAAAGCACCGGAAAAGAAGTCGTTGATAGTACTTTTATGTAAGTACTATTTTATATATTGAATTATTCATAGTTTTATTGTTAAAATTAAAGAGCAATATCAGTTAATTACTTATTAACACACGGACTAGTATATTCTACCGCTGAAAAGCATAAGGCTAACGCCGTAGTTCTTAATACGTGAGGATTACAACCCCATGTGTAGTCACTGAGCTTCCGCAATATGCCATTTCTTGTCATTATTTTATGCTTGGTGTTTTCACAGTGAAATCTGTAGGTGAGAGATCGGTCTAGTGTTACTCCAAGATATTTTGGACGTTGTGTGTTAGTTATTTTCATCCCATTCTAGTAGACGTTAAGAGTACGGTTGGCACATCGATTCCTCAGGTGGAACACAGACTAACCTAACCCTGGGGGGGGGGGGAAATGACATGAAGCTGGACTTTTTGTACATTAAAATCGTTTACTTAGGCCAATATCGAATATATATTAAGAATTATACAATTGTGAGAAAAATATATTTTTTTAATACAATATTGTTAATTGTTCGTCAATCTTTTGTTGTAGCGGTGATAGCGGTACGAGAAATGAAGCCAATAAACAAACAGCATCGAAGAATAGCAATGAAAATATAACAAAACGGCCGTTATACCAATGTAATTTATGTCAATTGTCGTATAACACCAAGAAGCAAATAACTTTACATATCACAAAATCCCACAAAAGTTTGACGAATAAACACTCATGTGAGGAGTGCTTACAATCATTTTCTCGAAAATTCAAACTGATAATTCACAAACGCGTGCACACCGGTGAAAAGCCCTTCAAATGTAACGTGTGTTTGAAGTCGTTTTCACAAAAACCCAACCTTAAAATACACAAAAGCGTTCACACAGGAGAAAAACCTTATAAATGTAATGTGTGCCTTAAATCATTTTCTGCAAAAAACTCTCTCATAATACACGAACGTGTGCACACAGGAGAAAAGCCCTATAAATGTGATGTATGTTTAAAAACATTTTCACGAACACATCACCTCAAGCGACATAAACGCATGCACACCGGTGAAAAGCCCTACAGTTGTGATGTATGTTTAATGTCATTTTCTGTTAAATGCAACCTCACAAAACACAAACGCGTGCACACTAATGAAAAGCCTCATAAATGCGATGTCTGCTCAAAGTCGTTTGCTGAAAAATCCCATCTTACAACACACAAACGAGTACACACTGGCGAAAAACCTTACAAATGTGATGTATGTTTAATGTCATTTTCTGATAAACGCAACCTCACAAAACATAAACGCGCGCACACTGGAAAAAAGCCTCATAAATGCGATATCTGCTCAAAGTCGTTTTCTGAAAAATCGTACCTCAAAGAACACCATCTCTTACACACTGGCAGAAAAAAACCTTATAAATGTATTGTATGCTTAAAGACATTTTCTCATAGAGCCGACTTAAAAGTACACAATCGCGTGCACACCGGTGAAAAGCCCTTCAAATGCACCGTGTGCCTAATGTCATTTTCTGTAAAATCCTCTCTTACACTACACAAACGAATACACACTGGCGAAAAACCTTACAAATGTGATGTATGTTTAATGTCATTTTCTATTAAAAGCAACCTTGAAGTACACAAACGCGTTCACACCGGAGAAAAGCCCTACAAATGTAATGTTTGTCATAAATCTTTTTCTGTAACATCCTCTCTCATAACACACAAACGCGTGCACACTGGCGAAAAACCTTATAAATGTGATGTGTGCTTGAAGTCATTTTCTCAAAGTAACGACCTTACAAAACACAAACGCGTTCACACTGGAGAAAAACCTTTTAAATGTGATGTGTGCTTGAAGTCATTTTCTCGAAGTAACGGCCTTACAATACACGTACGCATTCACACCGCGAAAAACCTTATAAATGTGATGTGTGTTTAAAGTCATTTTCTGATAAATCCCACCTTACAACACACGTACGCATGCATACTGGCGAAAAGCCTTATAAATGTGATGTATGCCTAAAGTCATTTTCCAAAAAATTCAGTTTCACACGACACAATTGCTTACGATATCAATAATTTATATTTATTAATTTTTAAATAAAATGTTTGAAGTGGGTTACCCACAACTTAATAAAACATATGCGGCTGGTAAAGTTTAATTTTGTTTTCTTTTAATCAAATGATCACCGCATGTTTCTTTCGTTTACCCTGTAGGCCTTTAGTGGTTGTTTGGCGTGTTTTGCTTGTATTATTATTAATTTTTTTTTTTGTAATATGTTTAACGATCGTTTATATTTTCAGAACTATTATTACAAATTTTGTATTATTTATTTAAAATTGGTGTTAACCTTTGTAATTATTATTAACATCATGCAGGCGTCATTAACTTGGTATTATATTAATGTGACAACTTCTCGCTACACAGGCCTATTTAGCATTATATCCCTTACCAATTAAGCAGTTCGTTGTAGGTTAGGTATTTTGATTTAATTTTAATTGAAGTCAAAATAAGTACCATAATATTGACAACTTTTAAGTAATAATTCATTTGTTAGAGAATCGCAATATTTATTTACAACGTTTCTCTATGTCTTAATCTAAATTTTATTCGATTTTCGATAGATTGATAAAAACGATTTAATAAGTTAAATAGATAGGTATTTAGTTTTAAATAGGAATTCTGTACGTCAAGTCGTTATAAATAGTACTGTCTTAAGAACATGCTTCACAAGTTTTGTACTAATTGTACTATTTTCCAATAAGTTATAACTTAAAAATTGTATTATTGTATTTTTATACATCATTAAAGCAATACCTGTTGATTTTACTTTGTTGCGATTTTTGTTGTAAAAGCTTTTACATTTTGTACATTATTAAATAACTGTAACTTGTATCTTATTATTAAGATTTGAAATAATAGTTATCCTAACTCTAAAAACACTCGAAGTCCATTTAAATAAATCTTCGTCACTATACTATTTTATAGAAATGAGTGCACCTAATATTATACATAAAAATTAAACTGACCTGTGAAATATTATCATGTTATGTAAAAAATATTTTCCAAAATGTTTAGATGGTGCTAGTGGGCATTTTAAGTATACCAACGACTTTTTTTTAAGTATCCAACTGCCTTAAACAACACATATCCATTTTTTTTTTAAATTTAGTAACATATATTAAGCTCATACCTGATTGAACAGCTAAATGTAAAAAAAGATAAAATCCCAAAAATAAATATATTCTATAGCTTTAAGGTAGACTTCATTTGTAAATTATAGCATGAATTAAATAAATATAATAATAAATTATAAACAAAATAAACGGTTTTCTTTAATTTTCCCAAAGTTAGTATTTGAGGAATATAATCCCTTTTTCACTCAGCTATTTAATTAATTGTTATATTATGCTAAAATCTAATCTCTGGTTGTACGGAGATAATATTGTGTTCTTATAATTAAAAATAATGTAAAAAAAAAGACATTTAATTTTATACCTTTGTTATTTTTCTTTTGTCCAACTACCAGATGATATACTAAAAATATAAAGATAATTTTAATTTTTAAAACACCTAATTGAGAAAAAAATGTTCGGTTATACATTTGTGAGATAAAAAAAAAAAAAAATTGTCAGAAACTACTTAAAGTAAATTTGATTTTTTTCTCGATTTAGTTTGACGATTTTTGAAATTTTTGCTATAAAATCCAGTAAAAGTGCTAAAATTTTAGATTTCCCATTACTTAGAGTCTTCCATTGACCCTCCAAATTTGAAGAAAATTAGAGACATGACTCACAAATCGTGACCGATTTTGCGTGGAACGACCCAATACTAGTGATAGTTGTCATTAAAAACTGTATACACTAATACTAAAGTAAAAGAGTATAATTAAAAAGTAGCCTCAATTGAAGATACGTACAAGCCAATAGGGAGTATTAAAAAAATGTAATCAAATGAAATTAATGCACTATAATATTTAAAATGTACATTTTTACCGATTCCGCTCTTGAAATGAATCAATAGCAAAAAATGTATCATAGTGGCATTTAACTAAGACTTAATGTAACCTAATGAATAATGTTCTTAAATGATTATTGATCAATGATCGCAATAAGACGTTGTCACGTCAACAAAATATTATAGGTGCTTAATAAATATTTAACTGTCTTATAATTATTCAAATAAATAAATAAAGTTACATAAACATGTACAAAGATTTAAGTAAACAAAAAATAAATTAAAAATATCTAATCGCAGACATATAGTTGTATCTCGTCCAAATCGTAGTTTGTTGTTGACTCAAAATAATTTCCATCAACTAAATCAATTTCTTCTTTGACTACAGTTTCTTTGTACGTTTCTTCCATACTAAAAACAAAAAATTTACAAATAAACTCAAAACTTTAATAGAAAATAATGGCTACGATCAATGAATGTTAACATAGAACTGTGTACTAGTTGCTCTCAGTGACTTTTGCAAAATTAGTGTTGCAAAAAATGTACAACAAAACTGGTATGAACAACTACAAGACTAGTATACATTTTTTTTAATATGGGCGTCGCATTACTGTTTGGAAAATTTAGGTTTAGCAGATAATTCAATGCAAATTTTTGTTTTGTTAAACAAAGTTATAGACTCTTCATTTTTTTTGTTTAATATTGTGTTTGTTTATATTCAATTAAAACGAAAACTTATTTGAATGTCCTGTTTGTTATTCCTCAGAGCGTAGTACTCGTGCCAACAGAAAGAAGTACAGTTACCTTAACCCCGCCGGGGAGTCACTATTAGCCATGAAAAGAGTGGGTCCGTAACATTACACCATAATAGCAATATGAAATATTTGAATTTATAAATTGCATTACTTGTATGAAATCCCGTCGAATGTGTTATGAAGATCGTTCTGGACTGTCTCGCAGCTATTATGTGATTTTTCCAAGTAAGTCAGACTTGGTTCGATCTTTAAGGCTTCTGTAATGTGCTCTTTTATATCTTCTTTTTGTTCATCTATTTTGTTTAGGGGACAGCTGTTATAATCATCAGTTCGTCTTTAATTTTCTCTTCAGTAACTCTAAAAAATAAAATAAATTATTTGTAATTAAAATTATAAAACTTACAATTACAATATTTCCCAGGGGTGTAATTAAACCGAACAACCAAGTTCAGTTTATTGTTGTTGTTAATTATTTGATACATTTAGTAGATGCAAAACATATACATTTTTATTTTTTAACATAATTTTAGCTGCAGAAATCCTAGCTATCACTATCATGTTATAATTTGTTTTAAATAAAATGTATTTAAAATCACGTTACTTATAAGAATCCTGAATTATTGTTTTTTTTATCATTGTGGGTTGTAAAACAACTTTTGTATGATTTTTCAACAGTTTTGTTTCTTTCACTAAGGCTTCAGTAAAGCGCTTTATTGTATCCTTATTTTCTTTCTCTATTTTGACGTTGGTACCGCAGTTACAATCATCCACTTTAATTTGAATTCTTAGCTAGTTTCGCACTTCTTTAACTATAGAACACAAAGCATATTTCCAATAATTAGCATAATATCCCATAATTAATATACTATAGCTGGCGTTTAGGCATATTTAAAGAATCAGTGAGTTAGACGTTTTAGTAAAAAAGTATGACGACCAGCAACATTGTTCTATTAGTTTAGCAACTTGCTTAACAATATACGTAATATCAAATTTGTAAACTGTAGGTAAATAACTAATTAATTCATTAAAATAAATGTAAATTATATAATCAATGAAAATGTTTGTCGGTACTTACTATTATTCAGCTGTGTAATAGTTCTAGTCACTAGTACCAGAACTAAGAAATTTATTTGTTGTTCGAAGTCGAAATCAATCCAGGAAGATGTATTCTAAATAAGTGAAGGCTTTTTAAATAATATAAGTTTGATTTTTATTACACTTGTAAAATATAAAGATTGACAAACTGCCACAGAGTAGTATATTAATTGAGTCTGGTAATTCTTCCAAGGCTATGAACTAAAGACGCAGTTGTAAAATTACACACTTAATACCTATTATGTTTTTTAATAATATGTAAGTTCCTATTAACATACAACGACGAATCAACTTTTCGAAAAATTAATATCGATCGCTTCTGGTGAGAATGCAAAACATATTTTACAGAAAACAATCTACTTGATAATGATGTTTATGCGTGTGCGACAATTAATGATAACGGCGAAATGAAGGCAGTCGTTGTTATCATTTGTCTCATACGTTTAAACCACGGTTAAAAAGAACCGTTCTGTATAACCGTGGTATAAACCACATTATCAAGTACCTAGATTGTGGGAGCACGACACGGAGCCACTCGACAAGGAGCCACTCGACAAACAGCCACCGAAAATCGACACGGAGCCACTCGACAAACAGCCACCCGAAGAGATACCAACATGTACAATATTTATGTAAAATGTACGATTATTATTTGTGTATGTTGTGCGGCCGACACCACATATTATAACGGAGTAATAGCAAAAAATGTAATTTCCAAATTGTATATCAATAAAAATAAAAACAGTAATTTTGTAGAAAATATTATATTTTTATTAAAACCCCTATTGTATAGTAGACATTGTTACTATGTTCATTGTAAACATTTCAATTTACTCAACAGGATTTATTGTTAACTCATGCTATTAATAATAATTATTGTTTCTAAATACTTTTACCCTATTATTATAAATAATTATACATTTTTATATTATTGATACTTATTTATTAATATAATACATAGGTAAAAAAATTATGTATATTGCAACGATATTAATTGAATAATATTTTAACTTGCTTTCATGTATTCCAATTAAATTACAAATATATTTTAAATATAAAACAAATGAAGTTATTGAACATTGTTTAATTTGTGTGCATTTTCATGAGTATCGGAATGAACTATCCATGTATATATTATATATACAACTAAAAAGTATTTGATAAAGGTTTTTACTTTTTATTGACTTAGAACTAGTTATTAAAAACTCAGAAGCAGAGGGTTAGAATTAGATAAATACCGATATAAAAATCCAAAAAAAAGTACATTTTTAGCTAATTGGCAAATGTGTATATTTTCCACCCATTTGGCTTATGCTATAGGCCATCTATATAAATTGGATTTTTTTATCTGATTAATTATTTCTATTTTTATTATCTATATATATATATATAAATGAATGTATGTGTGTGTGTGTCCCTCACAATTTTCATCAGAGTTTGTAGAAAAACAGCATTATATATTTATTTTGTGTTAATATATGTAGGATCATAAAATATAAATGAATAACCAAATTATAAAAAATGATTAACATGTATTGCTTTATAATAGCCCGTAATACTTTTTAATATTAGCGGGGCGCGATAAAACATTAATATTTACTACTAAGTCATCCTCAAGTCTCAACAATGTGCATCGGGCGAGCCAAAAATTGTTCATTGTTCGCTATAGCAAAATCCCAAACAAGTCAAATATTAGCGTGATGAAATTATGATGCAAAAACAAAAAGGACCACGACGGGCGGGAGGCAGGTAGACGAGGAATCCGATGATAATTGAGCGGCGATCGACGGACGAAGTACCCAGCGGGCGCGGGTAGACGTGCAGTGCCGGGCGCGCACGTATGTCGATTTCGGCGAACTTTAAAAGTCTGTAACTTCCAAACTAAGTGCGAGCGGCGCAAATTTTTTACATATTCGTAA